CGAAAGCTGTGTTACTATAATGAATTTTAGGTTTAATTTTGGCGTGTTGTATGATATTTTTGTGTTTCCGTGACATTAAAAGATATGAAGAGATCGTGCGGTCTCTCTCTTTTATAAGCCATTGATGCTTATTACGACGAAACGTGTAATGTAATAAGCTTATTTGAAGTTAACATTGGCGTGTTGAATGGGTTTTTGCGTGTGCAAACTTTTGCAATTGTCCCGTGAAGTTAAAAGTCGACATTAAACGTGACTAACAACCAGGCTCTTTTCAAACGGGGCGGATTACACTGCGTTTCTGGTCTCGTGAAGGCGCTTCAGAGAGGAGTTCGTCGTTCCGAACGAGAATAGAATCTTTTCACAAGGCTGTTATCAAAGCAGACTGCGTCTCAGTCAGTTCTCTAGGTAGTGAATCATTAGATCGTGCACACAAGTCCCTGCACTGGGGAAGAGACCATGGCTTAGTAAACATTGGGACAATTGATCAATCAATTTGTAAAACGTCACCACTGGTATTTATCAACAACAGGCAGGCATATTTTGATATTATTTTAATGCTGTTTAAGGTAGACTTATAATATGAAATGTGCATGTTCTATTACAAATCTTTGAAAATAATGAACAGTCAACATCAATGCTCCCTGTGTTGTGCGATGGATTGAGATTTTTTTTGTGCGCCAAAAAAAAAATGGTTGCAGCTTCTATTTCATCACAAATTTAATTAACTGATATTATATTACATTTTAAATTATTTAAAAGGCATCATTTCATTTTTTGAGATAAATTGTACTTTATTTCTCCATCAGGGTGTGGCCAAAAGTTTCATTGGTGCTTTCTCATCATTGCAAGTTTTCAGATGCTGGCCAGTCACTTCTTCCAAGGCTCCACACACTGCCATGTGACCAGACTGCTCCACTGCAACTACATAGTGTGTGTGTGTGTGTGTACTTTCAACACTAAGACTTAAGGTAATATGTGTACAAGTTTAGAGTGTTTACTACAATTAAAATGTGCTCATTGTGCACAATGTGCTAAATTGTTCTCAGTGGCATCTATGCTAGTATTAAGACGGTCTCATTCTTATTCCGAGGTCACCATAGCCACCAGATCCAGTCTGTATCCAGATCAGATTGTGGATCAGCACCTAGAGACGCCCTCGACAGCCCTGAATGTCAGCGGAGACCAGGACAACTAGATGAGCCCCAGAGACAGATCCCCTCCGAAGACCTCGTCACCTAGACAGCCATCGGGACAAGACCACAGTAACCAGACCAGTCCTCTGCACAATCTGACCTGTGTTGCAGCCTGCAATTAAACTGCTGGATTCGTCTGGCCAGAGAAGAAAAACTGCTGGATTTGTCTGGCCAGAGAAGAACGATGGAGTTTTGGTTCAACACACGATTTTTCTGTTTAATACTGTAACACTGCTTTGACACAATCTGTAGCGTAAAAAGCACTATGTAAATACAGTGACTGGACTTTACTTGACTCAGTTCAGTTGAACTGTAACACCTGGTTCATTTATTTTTTTCTGACTTCTGCCTCATTTTAAAGATGTAATTGTGAACAGTAGTAATATTTGTAAATGTTTGTTTGCAAACATTCAGTGACTTTTTTTCTTCAGTAGAACAGTAAAGAAGATTTTTATCGGAAACGGTGATCGTTGGCGATTCATACACTGCACGTTTGTGGCTGCCGGTTTTTAATTGTTTAGCTTCATAAGGGCCTCAATGTGTCCTCAGGAGCCTTTGGTAAATTGGTCTTGTCTGTATATGTTTATTTGACTCTCAAAAGCCGGCAGCCAGAGACGTGCAGTTTACGAATTGCAGTGTTTTCAAAGACAATGTTTTCACCTAAAAATTTCCTTTACTGTTCAATTGAAGAAAAAACGTTAACTACATCTTGGATGGCTTGAGGGTGAGTCAATTAACAGCAAATTTTCATTTTTGGGTGAACTATCCCTTTAAGCCTACATGTTTAGTCTGTATGACAAATGTTATAAATGCAGATTGTTATTAAATAAAGGCTATTATGTGTTGTAATGTGTGTGTTTTAGTGATTGATAGACACCAGGTAATAATTTTCTTAAACTCAATATAAAATATAATAACTAGTTCCACAGCAATTTCTTATGATGCCCAAATAATAAATCTTATTTGAGGTAACATATGAAACACATGGAGTGAATGGTTAAATTTTAATTGACACAGTTTGCTGTAGTTTTCTAAATGTTTGACCAATTAAATAATTTTAGTTGAATGGACTATAAAACTATTTCAGTAAAGGTTGAGCCAACTAAAAAAATAACATTTGAGGCAACACTTTGAAGACAGAAATTGACTGAACGTAAAATTTCTGTGGAACTTGTTACCAAATAATAATTAGTTGAAACAGCTTGACATTTTTTACAGTGTAGTCCGTGTACTCCCTGACAGTAAAATAAGCCACTATATTACAGGTCCAGTTATGCAAAAAAAATATATATACTGTGAAACCATAATCTTAAAAATACTGTGAATTTTAAGATTTTGTCTTAACACTTAGTACACCTGTGTAAAGCAGAACTGATGTTAACTAGTGGAGAATTCAAACCACCATGACCGTTTTGTGGGTACACTTGTTCCTGAAAAGCTTGTTTTGTTTTGTCTTGTCATGTGTCTTTTTTGTGTATGCTTACTTCCTGTAACGTGTCATTAGCTACACTGCATCACTGCACATGGTTGCACACAACAACACGAACTTGTGTTTACAAAAGACATCTCGGAAAATCTGTGAAACCAAAAGATAGCGGCTCCGAAACTGGCAGTTTCTTAAAGATAAAGTATTTTCTGCACCACTAGCATCAGCAACATGAAATTGCAAACATTTTTCTTCTAACACTCACCTTGTATTGCATTGGTTGGTCAAACAGAGTCCCGTGACTCCCACCCCACACTCACACCATTGATTGAGCCAGGACGCTCAAACAAACAGAACAATATTTTGCCTATAAAGGGAGTGGAGGTTAACTCCCCAAATTCATTAAATTGCACACTGGTGATGAACATGCGCTCATGTCACACCCCCGGCTGTTAAAAACAAACATCATGCATTCATGATTTTGGATTCTGCATCCACAGGCTTGTAAATTGGATTTAGGTTGAACAACTGTTTTCTGGTCATGTTTGATTTTAATTGAGGTCAAGAGGTCAGAAGTAAAGGTTGGTATGACAGCACACCATTTTCTGTTAGGTGCTCAAGTTTGAATGTGTTTAATCTTATGTTGCGCTCATTCTCATATTGCTTCCCGCTGTTGTTTTAATAACAGTGATCCTCAGATGAGCATAGCCAATTTACAGTGTGCCATCTGCATTATTTATCAGCGCAACTATTAATTATTTATTGAGCACTGTCATGAATTGGGATGTTGTGTTTATGTGTGAATTGGGGTGTCTGTGTGTGTGTGTGCGCACGTATGCGCGTGTGGATGCCTGCAGGCGAATCTGTTTGAGCTGCCCTTCTTTCGCTCATCTGTTCCCTTGGGCTCAGTGTGCCTGTAATATCACACATTTCTTTTTCCACTGGCTGTCACCACACCAGCCCTAATAAAGACTTTATCTACCTGGAGATCTGAATTCTAGGGACCAGGACATATCATCATTTATATTAACAAGATTTATGTGTTTTATTTATAGAGTAAAATACATAATCATTTTTATCTAGTTGTACGTTGTTTATTTATAAATGTATTTAATTTAACTTTATTTTGAGTTCTTTAGGACCCTCTTAATGTCATCCGCTAAGCTACTCTATAGCGCCCCATTCACACGGGGGGCGTCAGCGTTAACTCTTGACGTAGGGCGTTTCTGAAGCTTGGTGCTGACGCGACCGTCATAGTGACAACAGCCAATCACATTAGTCTTCTGGTGTTGCATGAACGCGATTGGTTAGCGTCTGCGCTAGGTTATTTGCATAAAGTCATCTGATTGATTATATCTATAATATAATCCAGCTCTCTGTCCCTAGCTCTATCTGTCAATGGATCACCAGCTTTCTGACAGATAGGCAACAGCTAGTGAGAATTGGTAAATTCACATCCAACAGCCGCACCACCAGCACTGGCGCCCCTCAGGATTGCGTCCTCGCCCTCCTCTACACCAACGACTGCACCTCTAAAGACTCCTCTGTCAAGCTTCTGAGGTTTGCATATGACGCTACAGTCATCGGTCTCATCAAGGACGGAGACGAGTCTGCTTACAGACAGGAGGTTAAAGAGCTGGCTGTCTGGTGCAGTCTTAACAACCTGGAGCTGAACACTCTCAAAACAGTGGAGATGATCGTGGACTTCAGGAGGAACCCCCCTGCACTCCCCCCACTCACCATCATGGATAGCACTGTAACGACAGTGGAGTCATTCAGGTTCCTGGGCACCACCATCTCTCAGGACCTGAAGTGGGACACTCACATTGACTCCACTGTTAAAAAGGCCCAGCAGAGGTTGTACTTCCTTCGCCAGCTAAGGAAATTCAACCTGCCACAGGAGCTGCTGAAGCAGTTCTACTCAGCTGTCATTGAGTCTGTTGGCTGACGCCTGCGTTGGTGCTTGAAAAGTTGAAAAGTTTCCAACTTCTGCCGCGAGCAACGGACCCGACGCGACGGACCCACAATTCATTTCGCCAACGCTTGACGTCACTCCATTCAAAGTAAACGAGAGGCGTTGATGCTGACGCCCCGTGTGAATGGGGTGTAGGAGTCACACGCTGCAGAAAAGCTTCAAGCGGTTATAGGTCAAGTCTTTAGCTCTTCAGGATCTGACACTCGTTAAAGATGTAATCTTTATTGTAATCTTGTTAAAGGCGATTTGTTTTCAGTGGCTGGGAGATCTGATCTGTCTTGGTATATATAGCCGTTACTTTTAAAAAACAAAGGCTGATATTTCATAATAGCTAAATGCTCCTTTTTGCATGCTTAATTACATTTAGCTTTATTTCTCTCTGTCTCTCTCTCTTTTCTTGCCTCAGGTTATGAAAAGACAGAAGACACGTCAGAAAAGACTTCTTTAGCAGACCAGGAAGATTCCAGACTAATTTTTATCAATCAGCCCCAGTTCACCAAGTTCTGCAGTAATCGTGTCAGGTACGTGTGCTTCCATGTGTATTGTGCAAACATCGGTTTCCTCAAACCGCTGAACAGGCCTTCATGGTGACCACGGGGATGATTAACTTCAAGAAGGTGGATGAAGCGAGTGAAATGTTGTTTATAAAAACTTGTTCAACACTGGAATTTATTGATTAAAATATTGTAAGTGTAACTACATGTATTCTTTTACCTAGTATTTCTTTGTGTAGTTTAATTTCATGATTAATCATTTTATTTAGCAAAAATGGGTTACACTTTATTTTACGCTGTCCTTGTTAAGTACTGAGTTTCTATTATTCAGAGAGTTCTGAAAAATAATATCATGGTAACCACAAAAATATTAGGCAGCACAACTATTTTTAACATGTTTCTCGAGCAGCAAATCAGCATATTAGAATGATTTCTGAAGGATTATGTGACACAGAAGACTGGAGTAATGGCTGCTAATTCAGCTTTGCCTTCACAGGAATACATTACATCTTTAAAAAATTTTTTTGAACGGTTGTGTAGGCAGCAAGGCAACCCAGTTGGGTTCAGAGCAGAACTTATATCTAATGTCACTAAAACAAAAGTGTTGAACAGACTGTACTGCCATGGATGGATGAATGGATGAAGATGGTTTTGAAAAATATTTGAGTGGGAAGGAACTGTATGAATAAAGTGCCACATTAAAACTAGTGAGCTGGTATTTGACAGACAAGAGAAAGTATTGCTGTGTTAAAGCCGCCACAGTGGCTCACAGTGTCCAAGTTACATTTGGACTCATAGTGATGTATGGCAGGCAGAGAGGAGGTAGGAGCAGGCGCTGCAGTTAATATCTGATACCTGCTGAATCACACTCTGAATTACCTTTAAGGAGCAGTTCATCAAAAAATGAAAATTGTGTAATTATTTACTCGCCCTCAAAAGATCAGCCTGAGTCAGTGAAATGAACTGATTTGAAATGACAAATATTTCAGCATTTGTGAAGGGTAAGATGCTTGGTGTTTTTTCTTCCACCCTGCAGTGAGAGAGCATTCATCCAGACTTCATGTCACTCAGACTGCAGACCTTCAGTATTGAAACCCAAAAGCACCTATTTGATAGTTCCATCTAGTGATCATAACAGCCACTGCAGTCTGACAAGAGCATAATTACTCACTAATAATGCCATACTTTGATTAATGCAGTGAAGAACAACGTGCTGTCTCATGTCTGGACTGTTTATCTGTGCTTTTAGGTATATACTGCCGTGCAAAGGCAAAAGACCGTAACTTGAGTCGAAATGAGTTATTGATATTTTTGGGACATTCAAGACATCATTTATCATGTGTATAAGTATCTTGAGTCAATTTTGTTGTTTTTCCGAGAAAATAATGAGTCGTCTCAACTGTAACTTTGAAAAGCCCCGGAGAAACCAAGGCAGAGAGAGCACCGTATAACAGCAGTTACGGCTCTTTCACTTTGTTTGGAACGCTCAAACTGAGTTACGGCGTTCTGACTTTGTTTAGCCGTTCGTCAATATGAAGTTACGGTGCCGGCTTTGAGTTATACGGTGTTCTGCCTTTGTTTTACTGTCCATTAAAGTCTGCCCCATTTTAATTACGGTGTAGACAAACGAATTAGATAGATCGCGATCTACCAAACAGCTCCATATAACAAAGCACTGTAAAGACTAGATACCTTGGCAGCAATATGTAATCGTGAATAACCTTTAAATATTAGTTTTTTTCTTTTTGTAATGCAGATTATTCACCAGGCTGTCACTTCTAGTTGATGTCACTTCTAGCTGGACGCGTGTGGACTCAAATGCCGTAGCTAGCATGATAAATCATAAAATCAGTAGCCTACTAACAGTTCGCAATTAAATCCATATCCTACCTTTTCTTGTAACCCGATAAAATCAATCCATGGCGATGAACGTCATCGGAGATGTTTAATCCACAAGCATTCTGAGCATTAAAAAACCTTATACTCACTTCTTCTGTAGGTGAAGCTGGATCATAGACACATTTAGGTAGATTGGGGGTGCATTCCCTTCAAAAACAAACGTAATCCACAGCGACTTCAGCGGCTCAGATGTCGGGAGTAAATGACGACTGCTATGTTCATTATTACATCCAACAATAGAACACCTCAATCGCTTAGGTGTCATTCTTGTCTACATCTGCTACATCTTGTCTACATCTGAAACAATGGCGGACTAATGATAGCTCACTCAGGGCGGGTCTAAGGTAAGACGCCAGTCCAGTCTGTGCTGAAACGCTACTGTCAATCAAACTATCGTGGGCGGGGCCTGTCTGTGTGACGCCACAGACGCATCTGAGATCGGCTCGATTTGAAAAGGGGAAAACATTTAACCAGATTTAAAAAAAAAAAAAAAAAACTGGGGGGAACTATTTCCAAAAGCAAAAATAAGTTGCTACTCCAAGAGATACAAAAACCAGCAAACACTTCTAGTATGATGCCTTATGTATTGCATTGCTGGAATTTGAGCATTTCTGCTGAGCTATATGCAGTTTAGTTTCAGTAGTATAGAAGTTAACAGCACTTAAGCTAACTATCTGTTATTTGACTGTTATTAGGTGCTGTTGAGGTTCCGTCATATTTGATTGGCTGCACTGCAATG